CAGGTTGAGTTGCTCTACATTATACACTTGAGAACTCTTATGTAATTCCAATATACCATGTACAGGTAACCCTGTATAACACGGCACTTCTATAGCACGGATTCGCTCTAACGTGGTTCAAGAATTGGGTAAAACCCTCGTACAACAGGAAATGTAATAAATTTTTACATACTTAACTAATAATAGTTCACGAAAATTATTATTTTCGTGAACTATTAGTACTTAAGTATGTAAATTTTCTCTTCTCGCCTTCTGTCGATACAGGTGGTCCTTCTCAAAACTTGTTTCAATGTTGCCAGATCGCGACGCTTCTGCTTCTGATGTTGCTGAATGTTTTTCCCTTATTTCCATACTCTCTTTATTCTTCATAAGTGCTTAGCACCATATAAGGAAATTTATAAAGACCTTATTACTAGAAGCAAGCAATCTAAAATTACATACATTTTGCAAAAGGTAAAGCATGGATCTGAAGATAATGCAGAAAAATGCTCAGAGGATAAGGATAACTTGCCAAAAAGAAAACGCTCTTGGTTAATTAATAGTGTTTTTAGTGATGACGAAGAAACCATTGTTTAATTTATATTAATATGTATCACATTTAATGAAGATATTTATCTTAATTATGAAAATATACTAGCATGTTTTTTAATTTTTGGAACCTAACCCTCCTTTTCATATTAGTTCTTTGTTTCGTATAACACGGATTCGCATAACACAGCAATTTTTTGGAACGTAACTACCGTGTTATACGGGGGTTACCTGTATGTAGAAGTGAACTAATGTTTTTGATCCTTTTCTTTTTGGATCTTCCTCAGGTCCAGTTTTTCTTGGAAGATAAAAAGTTAAATTTAGCTCTAACCCTAGTTAAGGTCATCATTAGGTTCTTATGTAAATTTCTACCTACATGATTTACTGGAGTTATAAATGAGTTCTTAAGTGTATAATGTACAGCAACTCCAATCTGTAAAGAGTTTGATATTCAAACTATAGAGGGGTGCATGCAGGGGCGGATCTACATAGAGACTAATAAAACTTAAGCCCTGTCCCCCCAAGTGTCAAGGGCCCACAAAAATTGAATTATCATCATAAATTTTTAATACTTTTTCATTAACAATGAGCCCTTTTTGTATAGTAAAAAATAGTTAATATTAATAACATAATAATAATGATAATTTATAGTATTATTTGTATTAACAAAAACTGGGGCCCCATTGGACTTCAATAAGACCTAGGCCCCAAAAAACTTAGATCTGCCTCTGGGTGTATGTGATGTCAAACAACTCTGCTCATATATGCAGAGACTGTGCAAAGAAGTGTCATATAGATTGCTTGTTGGTTTTGTTGTCAATCTCGATATCTCCATCTAACTCATATTCTTTTAAGTTTAATTTCAATTTATTATGATTTATTGCCTAGTATTTGGTTGCAATTCTAACCACAGAAGGCATAAAGATTGGTCATTTTTCCAAATTCCAGCAGTAATTCACCATCACGATAAAAAAACCAAATATTTTTTATGGCAAAGGCAAACAGAATGGCTTGCCAGCAAACTGAAAACGAAAAAGAATTGTATCTAAGTCACAAACAGAACTTACTGCTATTATGATACATAATTTGGAGCAGGAATGTGATGCACTTCGAGAAAACTAGTAACATTAAAAGCAACAGCCACCATAAATGATTTTTATTCTATTGAGTCATTTCAAGGAAATGATGAAAAAACAAGATTTTTTACAGGAGTGATAAACTTCAATGTCCTTCTGGTTGTATTTGACTTATGTTCTGCTGCTGTTCATCATTCAGACCAAAGCAAATTAACATAGTTTCAGGAATTTCTGATGTGTTTGATGAGATTAAGAATGAATTTGTGTCATCAGGATCTTGCCTACAGGTTCCACAATCAATAGTTTCAAGAATTCTGGAAAAATGGACAGCTGTTTTGTATGTTTGTTTGTCTGATTTAATTCACTGGGCAGATAGGAACATTTTATAGCAAACAATGCCTAGTGTATTTAAAAACTGCCTTGGAGAAAATGTTGCCACAATAATAGATTGTTTTGAAATTTTTATTGATAGAGTTTCATCATAATCTTGAGAGAAAAATCTGGTGGTTTCATTTTATATGAGTCCCATCCAATAAAAGAAATTTTCACTATATTTTTTCAAATCATTACCTTTTAAATCAGCTGCATAGCCATATAAATTTCCTTTCTTTCACGTTAACATCATAGAGTGAACAAGCAAGGCAACGTGAAATGAGCAACCAATATGGCAGACGATTGTTTTGTTGTGCAGTGTGGTAACGTTATATCACGTGACTGCATCTCCTCTATATAAGCAAAGCCGGCTCTTTCATACAAGAATGTCTGTCCTTACATATTCTATACACATAGAATGCTATGATTTAACATTAAATATTTTAATTTCTAAAATTAAACTAAAATTTGCAAATAATTACAGTCAATATGAAAACTAATTTTTAAATCAAAACCTAAAAAAAATAAATGTAATGTTCAGAAATTAACTAAAAATTCAATCAGTTTAATTTTTTGGGGAATGGAATGGAGTGAAAGGTGGAAAGTGGTGGTATTAAATCATTTTACTTTCCTGGCTGTTATACAATAGAGAAAATGTTGTAATTGATCAAATTTTCATGATTTTTTTGCATTTCTTGACATTTTAAGTTCCTGGTTTCAAAAACATCAAAAAAGGGAACAAAATTGTGTATAGTGGCCTTTTTTTTTCCTTATACTTAGGACCCATTAAAACAAAACTTTTGAAATTTGGCAGGAATACTTCTACTATAAGTAATAGATATGTATTATATCAATGGTGCGGTTTTCTTTATATTCTTTTAAGAGGTCAATTTTTAAAAAATATTTCTTCAAAAAAACCATAAACCTAAATAATGGCATGGACGTTGACAATGTATGAGGGGAAATGGGAGGGACTAAAGAGCAAGAAAACAGAAAGAAAGAAAGACGGTTGAAAATACCTTAGGGGATGCATCATCAATACAGCGTAGCTGTATGTCTAAACATAAAACAGGTTAGTTCACTATTGTGTAAATGTATCCAAATAATGAAAGTTATAATAATTGTTGTAATTTGTAAAATTGTAATTTTACCGTAATAATCACTGTAATAATTGAATTTATATCAATTTATAGAAATGTAACAACTGATGAGGGATGCAAGTTACACAAACATAGTGCACTCGAAATGCATAGTGAATAAATAGTAACGAAGATAACACTCAGAAGTTTTTGTCTCTGATAAAATGCGGTCCAGACAAAAAAACGTTGGTTAACTTCTTTGGATTTAATCTATAAAGTCTCATCAATTTTTTTGAAGAAATATTTTTAAAAATTGACCTTTTAAAGAAATACTTCTATTTGTAGGGCATTGATATTATTACATTTTAGAGATTATAAGTCAAGGGGGAAATAGAGGGAGTTAGGGAGTCATATCTGTAGTGGGATCAGACAATGGTAAGTTTACTCATTATTTAAGTATCCTTTAATCCAGTTGTAGAAATCTGGCAACTCTAACAATATTTGTTTTTCACTGCTGCTAAACAGTATCTGTTTTTCTATGTCAGGGATAACTGAAATATAAGGAATTTGCTTTAAGTATATAAGTGCACACATACATACACAATACATCCATTCCCATAGAGCTAACAAAAACATGTTTTACACTCAGTATGATATTCGCTCAGATGTCCAAGTTAACAAGGTTTGTGTTTGTGGGTTAGGCAAAAAATAATAATCAAAAAATCTGACAGTCTTTCTTGGCCACTAATGGCATGTACTGTACAATACTGTACAACACTGGTTCAGGTATGACTACTATATCACAAACACATTCACATAGAATGGATGACACCCCCACTTGGCCAAGGGCTTCAGCAGCAATCTATCCACTGACCACCATGGTTGGAAAATCACACAAATGGATAAAATGGACTCAAAAAATAAATGATTTTATCATCTATACTACCTACTATACTATTACTAAACTCAAATCAGATATGACAGTATACAGACATACATATTATACGACAAATTCACACAAAAACATCCACATTTCACTGTTATAGAGTTAAAAGGTTGTTAATCAGAAAATAACAATACACAACAACTTTATTCCACAGACAAGTGCATGAATGTATCAAACAAAAAGTTGCACAACAGATATATCAACTTAATAAAATTACATTCTTCTTGGTACTGGAACAATGCAAAATGCATCATTCCTGCATTAATAAGTGTTTACAGTGTATTGTGTCATTTCCACATTTTGGTTGATTATTAAAAACATTTTGAATGCAGATTTTGTTTTTTGGTCTTATTGAATATGGGAAAACGTATTATGTGCAGATCTGAGAAATAGGAATGCATTGTGGTTGATTTTTTGCTCAATGAGCATTTTTGCTTTTTAAGCTTAACATGGTTATTTGCAATGATTTGTTAGTATTGATTAAAATTTGATCATGAGTACTAAAAGTTATTGATATATGAAATATATGTAAACTATTGATGGTTAAACATTAAAAGTTAGCAGTTAAACTGTAGCTAATTGTAATTAGGAATAAACATCTTGGCAATGTTAAATGTTGTTTACAATATTCTTATTTAAAACGTAAAATTTTCATTTCATTAAAAAATTATATTAATGTAAAAAAAAGGATTTTATAAAATCCATTATTCTTATTAAACAAATTATATCTGCTAAAACGAGCACAGTGTTTGATTCTACGATGATTGAATATTGTATTTATCTAGCAAATTGCAGTTTATTCAGTTGTTAGCATAGATTAATAGAAATCATATCTATGTAAAATGTTATGTTTACATGTAATAATTTGCTTTTTTATATTTTTATGATGTATTTAATATAAATTAATGTTTGTTGTACATTTTATCTTTAAATCACAGTTCTTATATTTATAGTCATTGTATTATATTTAATTATATTTTAAAATATTTTTATTTAAAGAAATCAAGTTGGAATTATTTTAGTCAACATGTCTGCTTCTGCAATTTATGTTCTTGATTTAAAAGGCAAGGTAAATAACACTTTTTATTGTCTATCATAAGTTTTTATTGAAATTTATAGAAAATATGATTCGGAAAAGATAAAATTTAATTAAATGAATTTAATAAGTTAAAAAAATGACAGTGCAAACTTTTAAAATCATATTATGAGAAATCAGCAAATGTATTCAATGTTATATTAAGCTCTGAAAAAGATGTAATAAATAAGTTTAAATATTTTTTGCTTCTTGTAATTATTTATGTAATTAATCAGAAGAATATCACAACTAAATTTTATTAGTTAAAATTAAACAAAGATTATCACATCTTTTTTCTCCGGCAATTTTTATTTTGCAGACATTTTAAGGTTTATTAACATTGTTCTGTGTTCCAAATCCTATACCTTTTGGAATGTTCTTTCATAAGTCATATTTAAAAATGAAAGAAAGTGTGTTCCACATCTAAAATGGTTTTTATCTGCTGTTCAGTAATGGCTTTATGCCTAAGGATTGGTGTATTAAACATCCATCTACTGACATACTTCTGATGTTAGCCTAATTATGGTCAAATTGCAAAGGAATTTATAAAAGTTCAAAAATTGGTATTATATGTGCAGAGATCTCTACACGGAGTTCTGTGGAGAGTTTCTCACCAAAGTCCAATAGTATGTGGATTCAAAAACTTTCACTTTTGGACTTGCAATTTTTGATAACAATAACTGGCTGATAACATTAAACAGATGATAAAATTTTAATTACTGAATTTATTACTGAATTTATTACAAACGATTACAGTGTGTCATGTACAATTTGTATTTATCGTAAACTATGCACTTAATACAACGTTACACATTTATACATGCTACATTTCTTATAAACAATTGTTTTTAACTCATCAGATCAAATTAAACAAGAGAAATCATGATAGGAATGTTTATATCCAAGAATATGCTTCATGTAAAGATCTACAATACATGTATTTTCTAAGAATTTTTGTCATGCCCTTACAGTATGTAAAAGATAACAGTTTTTTCAGTTAAAATTAAGCAAAAAAAGGTCCATTTAGTGTGAATTTTCAAAGAATTCTTATCACTTGTCCCAAAGTGTAATTATCATAATTTATGTAATAGTTGAAGTTTGATTATACTAGACAGATTATTTTTAACTAATTTTATATAGTGTTCTTGGACTGGTTGATTATGATAACAATAGCTGATTGATAACATTATCCATGATTATAATAACAGAATTTCACTGTATTAATTATAATAAAATGGCAAAAAGCATAATTTTGAGGGTAGAGATTAATTTTATAAAAAATTGTAAATGCTAATAACAAGTAAAATCTTCATTAAGTTTGGCCCCACTTCAAATATGACACAAATCCTCTTCTATCTCCTCCATCCCCTTGTCCTTTAACTACCAAAATTTATAGCATCAATGACCCTAATATACAAATCTGTATGCAAAATTTCAGAAATTTTCAGCAAAAGTCACAGGAGTTATTAAGCTTCAAAGTGGCTGAACAAAATCATTTCACACACTAACATTCATACATACATAAAAAACTTCCAACTCTTTTTGCATTTCTTAACATTTCAAGGTCCTCAGATTCCAAAAATTAAAAATTTTGGAGGGGTTATTTTCTTGACTAGTTGCCATACTGTCCCTCTTACAGGTTTTAGTTTTTTTTTTTACTTTCCCAAGTAAAAGAAAAAACTAAAACCTGTTCAAAATGGAAACCTGCCAGAGTAGAAAAAATAATTCCATTTACACAGGTTTTACTGTGTTAATTGCATAAATGTTAAATTAATTATATTTTAATCTAATAATTATGTTAAATATATTAATGTTATAAAAATATTATTAATGTAGCATCCATTATGCTATTAATAACTATTCAAATTATAATAAAATTTTATTTATACTTTTTAGGTGTTAATTTCACGAAATTATAGAGGTGATATTGACATGTCTGTAATAGATAAATTTATGCCATTGTTAATGGAAAAAGAGGAAGAAGGATGCATGAGTCCAATTTTGTCACACAATAGTGTTACATTTATGTACATTAAATATAACAATTTATATCGTATCCTTTATAATACTGAATTGTTTATAATTAAAATAATAATAATAATAATAATAATATAATTAATAAATTATATTTCTTTTATATACATATAATATGAAGTACAATTAATAAATTTCCAAACTGAAATTATTGACTAGAGTTATGGAATAATTCCATCTTTATATTCTTTTCAAAATAATTCTTATTATAATATATTTTTTGTGCAAATGCTGAAAGTGGATTAATATATTGAATTTATGTTGAAACTGCATTCACTTCTTCAGTACTACTGAAATGTTGACCATAAAACATGTATTTTTGGACATGTTTTATGGTCATCATTTTAGTAGTACTGAAGAAGATTGGGAAAAAATATTTACAGGGAAAAAGTTTAGAGAATTTGTATGGTGAGGAAATTTCCTGGTTCAATGTTTATCTAGCTCTCATTAGATAAAGAGAATATATGGAAGGGAAGTACAGTAGACTCTCCCTCTTCTGGACTGATCAAAGGCAATCAAGAATTTTTGAGTATATTGTACACTACTCTGAATTTTCTGTTTTATGTTTTGGAACTCTGCTTACTGATTTGATGATTTTACAATCTCTTACACTTACTTCTGTAAAATATATACATTTTCCTCTATTTCAGCCTTCACATGCATGTGTCAAGAATGATGCATGCATGTGAAGACTCATTCCTGATGTCTTGGTGCTTGATTCTTTCTAGTTCAGAATGGATGTGTTTTATGCATATTAAAATATGAATAAAGAGACAATATGTAGTAATCACCAATGAAGAAGAATTAAGGTGATTGGGAGTAGAAAAGAGTGAATTAATAAAGAAGAAAGAAAACAAACTTAATGTTGGAACACTGAATGTGACTGAGTTAATTAAAATTACCTAGAATCAAAAGGTTTGTTTATAAAAGCAATTATTATTTTGAATAAAGCACTATCACACTCAAATGAAGAAACCTCAAAGAATGGAGATTTTATTGTTCAATTTTTGTCTCCAAACATCACTAGCTTGCTGCAACTATTAGATCAATGTACAATTGAAACATTGAAGAGTTATTATCAAAAGCTTATGCTTCAGTCAGTTTTTGTGACAGACTGATACTACTATTTTGGATAATCTTAAATCAGTAAACATATAAAAGATGCAATAGTCTGGTCTGATGAGGCATGGGAGAGACTTCAAAGCTCTACCCTGAAAAAATATTTGAATAAACTTTCCAATGAAATTTATGAGGATGCAAGAGATTGATTTGACAAATACTACACACAAACTTCCTGGTTCTGAAAGCATCACAGAAACAGAAGTTACAGACTGGTTAAAAAGTGATGATGATTTAGAACTCATGGATCAAGGAATTTTAAAGCTCATGAATAAAAAAGGTAAAGGATGAGAGCAGCAGCAATGAACGAGCTTGTTGAATAGAAATGTAATTCTTTGGAGGAAGCATTTTGAGTGTTCGAAATAGGTGCTTATTTTTTATTGCACTCTTACTTTTCCATACTGCAATGTGTATATTTTTTATTTTTTATTTTTTTTTTATTGAGGTTACGTTGAAGTTTGATGAAAAACACAATAGAGAGGTTGCGGCTGATGTTTTCATCATGAAAACATGAACGTTGGACATTCAGTGCCTCCTTCCTGTAAGCTTAGAAGTTTGACAATGGCGTTTGGAACATCGAGCATGATTCCACTGACGTTCCAAACACCATTGTCAAACTTCTAGGCTTACAAGAAGGTGACGCTGAACGTCTGATGTTAACGTTTTTGCTATGAAAACATCGGCTACAACCTCTCTAATATATCTATCAACCACTGCTGACATGATAATGATGAGGCATTGGCATGATGTAGCAGCAAATTGAGCAAAGAATAAAAGAAACAACTTTAAAAAATATTATGTTAAAGTTATTTTCAAAATAAATTGTATTTATCAAAAATAAGTACAAAAGTCAAAATAAACATTTTTTTTATACAAACAATACAGTAGGCATATATGTTAGTCTCACTTAAAAAATATCACTCTCTTATCTGGATCTTTCTCAAATCTAGATCACTCACTTCCATCTGCATTAGTTCAGATATGGGGGGAGTCTATTGTATTGGTATGCAAGAGCATCCAACTTTTTATTCATTTCTAAATCACTTTTCTTGTGATCACTAAGCACTTATGATGTATAGATTTCATGTAATTGTTACTAGATTTGCTCATATTATAATTGGTTTTGATCCTCTTGAGAGGATGAAGTTATAATAAATAATAAACCAAATTATAATAAATATGTGCAAATCTACTATAAATAACTAAAATAACTACTATATTATTTGTTTGTATACAAATCTGTCACAATTGTATGAACTAAACTTAGCTGGTCATGTGTTATCCGATTTTGGTGTTGCATGTGCATTTCTGATGGTGTATAATAAAGTTTAGTAGCAATAAATAGGAAAAAATATCTAAAAGATACATTGTGAGTAGTACGTTTATTTCTCATTGTAAGTATTATTGGATTCTATGAGCCAATTTTTCCACTTTCCTGGGATTCGGGAACGGGAAAACAAAAAGTCTTCCTGAGAATGGATTGGAAGGATTCCTGCTTGGAAACCCTAGTTATGCTACTATTATATGCATGTGCCAATGCAGCAACAACACAAAACAGAGTAATTATGTTGGAAACTAATTGATTGTACTTCATATGTTTATTAATGTAATTATATATATATATATATATACTTTCTTTAACTATTTTAAGTTGTGGCCACAACAAAGAAAAATGCAAATATTGCTCTTGTGTTTGTTTTTCTTCACAAAATTGTACAGGTAAATATAATTTGTTGAGAGATTGTTAATATTTTATTAATTTTTATTAAATATCTGATTAGCAATGCTATTTTTATACTTTCCTTAAATCAGAATATTTTTGCCTTTGGTTTTTTTTACTTTTTTTTTACAATCACACAAACAAACAAACACAATATGTATATAGGTGTTTCAAAAGTCTAGATATACATAATGTAATATGTCTATGGATGATGATAGGCCAAACTAAACAATGGGAGTATGTTCTGATACATCGTGAATACAATGATTACCATAAAGTTGACTTGGAATGGCATTTTCAAGGTCATTCAAAGAATATTTTCAAAACTGTGCATCCGAGACCAAAAATGTCAATTAGAAAGTTGTAGGTCATACAAAAATCAGCAAGAATCTGTTTTTTCAGTACATAAACACGAAAATAAAATGAAAAAACAAATCCAAAAATGTGAGCGAAATTTTGTTGTTGTCATGCAGTGAAGCACCTTTGGTTGTTTTGTCTGAATTAGAACATTTCAGGTGCTTTAATATTTGCTGAATATATCACATAGCAATGTTATGTTTGACATATAAATTCTTTTTTGTATCTGTCAGTGTCAAGACATGCTAACTTGTTACAAATACAAAAAATTTTGTATTTGTTAATTCTGAAATAGATAATTGACACAAAACAAAGATATAAAAACTAACTCTATTCGGCAATTTTTTTCTACAGTCATTAATTACTTTATCATAAAAATCACTTGTCATTGAGTCCATCAAAGTATTTAAAAGCTTTTTTTCTATTGAAAGCAATGCTAGTGACAACAATCTTTCCTCTTAGAGTGTTCCTTGCAAATGAATGAATTCATTTTATGGTTGAAAAACTGCACTCAACAGATGCACTCGTAGATGGTACCATAAAAATTAATGATATTACGAGGGCTGTTCGGAAAGTTCGCGGCCTCACATAGAAAAACAAACAAAATAATGTTAAAACTTTTTTTATTTTTCAATGTAATCTCCTCTGTTAGCAATGCACTTATTCCAGCGATGTCCTAGCTTTTTTATGCCATCACAATAGGTCGATTTGTCAAGGTGTGCAAAATACTCGTTCACTTCAGAGATGACTTCGTCATTTGAGTGGAATCTCTTTCCAGCTAAGAATTTTTTTAGGTTTGGAAAAAGGTGGAAATCACTGGGGGCCAAATCAGGTGAGTACAGTGGATGTGGAACTAATTGGAAGCGAAGTTCGTTTATCTTTTGTTCAGTGATTCTGGCGGAATGTGCAGGTGCATTATCATGGTGGAACAGAACTTTTTTCTTCTTCAAGTGTGGCCTCTTTTCTTCGATTTCTTTCTTTAGTTTTTCCAAAAGTTCACAGTAATAGACAGCATTAATGGTCTTTCCTCTTTCTAGGTAGTCAATAAAGATGATGCCTTTAGCATCCCAAAAAACCGAGGCCATCACTTTACC